GTCAAATAACCTTTTTGAAGTGTTAGGTAAAACACTGGCCCCTGCCTCAGAATCTTCAGTGGTTCTTCATCACCTTAGAATGAGACTTTAAAGTCTGTTCCCAGCCTGTAAAGCCATAATCTGACACTTAATTTTTCTCCAGTCCTCTACCATTTTCTCCTATCACAGTGTTTTAGTCACAGTAACTTTTTCCATCCTTCAAACAAACCAGAATAACGAAAGCTTCCAAGCTTCACTCTTGTTTACAAGAGTATTACTCGCCCAGTATTGTCACAGTCCGCTTGCACACTTCATGTCCTTGCTTAACTGAAGGCTGTTGGAGAGAGAGGTCCCTACCCTCACCTCCATCACTTTATCCTCTTAAGCTGGGTCATTTTTCTTGATAGGCCTGTGTACCTTCTGGCACTAGTATACATCATGTCACATACATGTCAGTCACAGCCTTATGTTACATCCTCATTTCCTTGGTTAAAAATGTAGACAATGGAAAAAGACACTTTTGTTCTTTTGTTCATTGCTGTATCCTCAGGACTTAGGACAATGACTAACATGCAGTAGTTAAAAAATACTCACTGAATAAATGAACAGTGATATATGTGCCTGTGAAAGTCTAGTTTTTAATATTATAACTTATGAAAATGTATATCATTATAAAATCTCGTATTTCTGCTCTAAACTCTTACTTTCTAACTTCATCATGCCCAAAGATTGAGATTCTCAAGCAAATACCTGAAGATGCTGAGACAGAGGAAGGCCTTAAACGGGAGCTGCAGGTTCTTAGGTACACTCTGTATTCATATGACTACTTCATTTTTCTTTCTTTTTAAGTTTCTATTTTATATAATTTGATTTTCTATAGCTGGAGACTCAATTCTTTCAACTTTGCTGCTTAGTACGTTATGTAATTAGGTCATCCTTTCAGAGCCTGTTATTCCTTTACATGCCAGATGCTGAGGAAAAGGATAATTCCAATTCTAGTGTTGCCCTTTGGTAATTTAAATTTCCCTCATGGCATAGTTGGATTAAAACCTCATTTTCCAGAGGCAAATTCTAGAGGACAATCCTTTACTTGGAGGCGTCTTTGTAGCCTACTTTCATTGGGGCCTTCTTGTAAGAAAACTACTCTTGAAACTAACATCAGGGTAGATGATGAAGGCTTTTGATCAGTGGTGTTTGAGAATGTTTCAGAAAGAAAGTGAATAAATATTTACCTTTATAAATACGTTTTGAGAAGTGTACATCACTAGTTTTTAAGAAGTACTCACATATTTTGTGAAGCGACGTCTGTTGGCTTTTTAAAACGTACATCATTGTGTTCCAGATTAGCTTATAGTCAACTGGAAAAAGAAAAATCAGAATTAATGTATCAGCTAGAAGTAAACAAGGACCAAAGTAGAGCTGAAAGCACCGTTACCGGTAATGTATTTTTAAGACTTCTTTGCTACCGTACATTTTAAAATTAGAATTTACCTGTTTTTGTTTAGGTTTCTTATAATTGCTTTCCTGTAAAACCAAATCCCTGATAGGAACTTGTAAGAGTTGTTGTCTCCCTATGCTATAAAAATATTTCCATTCAGGCCTCTGTTTATATTGTTGAGTACCACATACACGTTTTTCTCATATTCTATGAGATGTTCAGGTTTAATCCCGGCACAATTCTAAGAAATGAATACTAGGTCTCTTACTTCTGGTTTGTTCATATAGGTCCATCAATTCCTCTGAAAATTTTTTTCTAAATATTATTAATCATTCCCTTTTATTCTTTATTTCTATTTTTTTTCTTTTTTTATCGGTACCAGGGATCGAACTCATGACCACACACTTGCAAAGCAGGTGCTTTGCCACTGAGCTAAATCCCCATTACTCCTTTTTATTCTTAAAACTACAAACAAGTGAACATTGTACATATTCTTTTTTCCTGCTGCAAAATAAAACCTGTTTTCTTATTATGTTCCATTTACATTCAGTAGTGATAATTATTCTGTATACACAGGTACACACACATATACAGACCCACTAATATATACCACATATATTTATACAAAATATCTGTATATATACACATACACAGTGTACAATTGATTCCTCATGTGAGGACTCTGTATTTATAAATTTCTGTTGACTAAAACATTTGTAACCTCAAGAATCAATACTCATGGTAGGTTCGCAGACATACACAGTGAAACATTCAAATAGTCTTAATTCACATATTTCCAGCACATGTCCCTCCATATTAGGCAGTGTTTGACATCTTTGTTTCAGTTTTCACGCAGAGAACCACAGGATAGAAACAGAAAGGGGCTGCCACTGCAGTGTGGGAAGCTCTTGCTCTAGGGCCAGTTGGAGGAGGTTTGAATCACAGCTCTCATACCTGCTAGTAGGATGAACTCAGAAGAGTCCCATAACGCTTTAGTTTTCTCTTTTGTAGTCATAGAATCTACCAGAATGAGTTGTTTTGAATATTTGAGATAATAATTTATCAGGGCATTGTGTGTGTGTGTGTGTGTGTGTGTATGTGTGTTACATTTCCCGTAGGAATAATGATTATTAATCAAATTGTGCCAGATATATAGGATATACCTGTTGTGAGGAGAGAATAGACCTATGTCATATATATATATAGAGAGAGATTTTCTTGGCAAATACTGCAAATTGGATTCATACCCCATATTTCTAGCTGTGTGTGTGTGTGTAGTCCTGGGAATCTAACCCAGGGTCTCACACATGCTAGGCAAGTGCTCTGCCACTGAGCTAAACCCCCTCAGTTATATTTCTAGCTGTTTTTTTTTTATAAGTTTGCTATGGACATCTTTTCAAGTTTGTGTGTGTGTCAATCTTTTAATAGTTCTGTATTGTATTATTATATAGATAATATATTTATCCATTTACCTTTTGATACACATTTTGTTTAACTACTGAACAGTTTACCTGAAACATCACTCAGGAAGCATATTTACATATTGACTATCCCGAGCTTTGCTTGGGCAGATGTCATTTCAAACTAGTTGATTCTTGCATTGAATACATTTGGTAAAATTACTTTTTATATTTCCTGTTATCTTATAAAAAATTAATGAGTATAGACTTTTTGATCACCTATATTCAAATAATTGGGCTGGGAAGTGGTTGATTTTGCTATTGTAAAATAATTCTATAATGAACTTTCTAACTTCATTATGGTGCCGTTTGGTAGCTTGGGTTTTTTGATGTGCTAAGTTCTGCCCTAAAAGATTGTACCAGTTTTTATCTGAATCATTTTCAACTGTTTTGCAAAACTTTCTTTACTATCCATTTAGTCCTGATGCTTTTTAATAAAGTGCTTATGTAGAGCTGATACTAGACATATGCTATGTGCTTTATAAGTATTCTGCTTTATTCTTATGGTATATTTTTGTCTTCACTTTACCGTGTGATAAACAGATTCAACAAGGTTAGTAATCTGACCCCAAAATCACGATATCTAGGAAGTGGCAGAGGTAAAACACAGTGAAATGTCAATCTCCTTGGTAGTCTTTCTTTTAACCACTATGCTGCATTGCTTCTTGTTCCTAAAAATACATAGTCTCTCTCAATATATATATTTATGAATAGATACACCATACCCATCTTGGAAGTATTAGACACTGTACAAAAAGAGCCCCTATTTTATAATTGTTTTCTCAGTGAATTTGACTACTCACATCTCCTATGTGAAGGGGATGATACCTTATATTTCAAGATTATTAAGCTTCAAAATCTAATGGAATCTGTTTTGAAAGTTCTAAATCACCATTTAAATATGTGGTCATTTGAATAGCTTTCGAAAGATGCTATACTTAACTTTCCTTTTCCTGCACTGTGTACCAGTCTGTGCAATATAGTAGCCCACTGATTAAGACCTCCTTAACACTTTGTGAGTTTTAAAAAATGATTTCACTGGCTGACTTGAATCCCATTAGAAAGTAATTATGTCATCCTTTTTATTTTAAATCTCCATCTGCATGTTAGTTATACTTAACAGGACCATTAAAGAGAAACCTTAGTAAATATGTTGTCGTCTGAGTCATGCAAATTTGTTTTCTGTCCACAATTTTCTTAGACTTTAACACAAAATTATATTCCAGCGGTTGTGTGTATAAGATATATTATATATAGTATTTAGGGAACATGATTTTAACACAGATGAAAGGCTATTTGCCTGTTCTTAATTATAAACTTACAGGTACGTTAACTTGTGGAGGATCCTGTATATTATGTAAACCTTTCATGTTGTGTTTCTGGACTTTTCATTTTCCTGTCAAGGTATGAATTATGTCATACTTTGTATCACACAGCTGCCTTGGACATTTTGTACACAGTAACTGTACAGTTAATATATACTGATGACATAGACTAGCTAGTCTTGTGTTGGGTAGATGCATTTGGACAGCCTGTAGTTTTAATTCCTTGTCTAACTATCTGTTTTTCTTCTGTATTTTTAGTATGTAACAAATTTTACTGGTTGTAGAATTTTTCCGTGAAAGTAAGAATTTCTCCTGTATAAAAAATTGGACTTAGTCTTTACTTGCAATGACTTTTCTTTTTGCTTGCTACGATATACCTAACAGTGGTATCATTCAGTAACTGTAAAGTGTCTAAGCCATAAAATGATGCACTTTCAAGGCTGTAAGTTTCATGTTTTCTGCTTATTTTCTAAAATAAATGCTTTATCTTGAACTTAGAAAAACCTGAGTCTTTTTAATTTTTGTTGTCAGATACGGATCAACTAAAGGAAACCATAAAAGATCTAGAGACACAGATCAAAATATTAGACCTAGAAAAGCAGCATTTGAAGGTAAATACTATAAATATTTTGTGGAAAACAATTTGTATGATAACTATCTTTTGAGTTTTATGTATGTATCCTGAAAATGTATGGAATTAATTTTATTTTATAATTTCACCTTGATAATGAAGTTTACTATGTTTGTGCTAAAATATTTATTAAGTAGGTGCTAACAAAATACTCAAAGCAAACAGAATTAGAAAATAAATTTATTTTTTAACTGTAACAAATATAACTGTACATTTTTTAGGTAATATTTTCTTAATTTAAATTTTAGGTCACACGAAACAATGTCTTTAAGTACCTTTTCAAGTTCTATTTAGGAATCTTTTCCTTAGGTGATAGGTTCCTTAAAAATGTTTTCCATGCTTTACCTTTTTTAATACTTTGAACAAAGGGTTTTGACATGAGAATTAGCTGTGACTAATTGCTGGATATTCTAAATCTAATTAAAGCTCAAATTCTGTCTTCACCTGATGTTTAATCTAACCAGGCAGATGTAGCAGGTTTTCCCTGATCATGAATACAATTATAAAAAGTTGCGCATTATTCATTAATGTGGATATAAATAAAATATAAATGAAGCCTAAACAAAAAATCCTAACGAGAATAACTAAAATGTGAATAATAAAATACTTTCTGAGTACTCTTTAAAAGTACTTTTAGAGAAAGATTTCAGAATCTAATAGTAAATTTTAACCAAAGGTTAGAATATAATTTACAGAAAGACAGTTTGACTTGGCAGTTAACAAGTTACTTGTACTACACCAATAAAACCTTATCAACAAATGTTAGGAAGATTTCACCTTTATGAATGTACTTGACTAGGTTACTGTGGCTTTCATATTTGTAATTAAACTTCTTTAGTTCAAACCTTAAACATGTGCTCTTATATGTAACTGTTAAAGACCCTTGTTTCTATTAGGAGGAAGTAAAAAAGCTGAAGAAAGAACTGCAAAACTTTGATCCTTCATTTTTTGAAGAAATTGAAGACCTGAAGTATAATTACAAGGAAGAAGTGAAGAAAAACATTCTTCTGGAAGAAAAGTTGAGAAAACTTTCTGACCAGGTCGGAGTTGAACTGACCAGCTCGGTTGCTGTTTCTGAACAGTCTGAAGATGAAGAGGAAAGTCCTGTTAATTTCCCCATTTATTAAGGGCCACATGTAATTATAATTTTGTTTAGCTATTTATTTATTTTCTATGTTAAAATTTCTCCTGGAAATCAAGCAAGTCTAAACTAAAGAATTTCTTCCTTAATACTTTATATTTTTACTTGGAGTTTTAGTAAATAAAACTATATGGAATTTTTAAATTACTAGAAAAATATATTTTTGTGGACTTTTCTGAGAATAAGTTATGACCATAAAATGGGCAATGAGTAAGGGTGAATTTCTCTACATTCATAATTTCTTCGGTTTTCTTAAAACATTAAAAAGGTAAATAATTTTAACATTTAAAATTACAAATTTATATATATATATATATATATATATATATATATATATATATAACCTTAATGCATTAAAAGACTCAAATCCTAAACCTATGTATCTATTACATATATTCATACATAAGTACACATTAAGTAATGCAGTTAAGCCATACACTTTACTAAATGTCTAGCAAACATAAATTGAGCTTAACTTACTTAACTCTGAAAGTAAATTAAATAAAATTGTTGGTTCAGTTGTTGTCTTTTTCATCCATTTAGCATGGACAAAATACAACCTTTGTAAAAGCTTGGGAGCTTATCATTCATTACCTTTTTATATCTAAAATTAATGTACTGATTCTAAAGTTTTTAAACAGGTATTGCAGCTGGAAAATTCGTTTCTTCAAATGCTAGAAGATATTTTGATACATTTCACAACAGACAATAGGAATCTTGAAATAGTTTTATCTTTTTAGCATGACAGAATATTCAAGAACTGACTATAACAATAAAGCTAATTTTAATTGGTTTTTCATTTTACACATCAAGTATTATGTCTTTGAGCCTACCAAATTTCTGGTTATCTATTTTTGAAAAATGATTAAACAAACACTTTGTATCAAAGGCATAGCCATATTTGTTCAGGTTCATGTTAATAATAACAGGCTTTGAATTCATGTAAGTATCTGGAATTGGCCAGGATAAACCAAGATGATGACGATGGACCTGTAGAGAGAAAAAGAGCTGCATGAACTTTAGTGTTAAGTCTAAAATAATCATCATCTTCGCTAACTTAGAAATGTTTATTTTGGTTGTCTACTATCCTATCAGGTACTGTGTAAGGCTCCACTTTACCACAGTTGTCCTTTTCTTGACATATTACATGGTTACTTGTTTTTTATTTATCCTCCTTGTTCGAGTCTGAGCTTCATAGAGGCAGAGACATTGTTCTACTTGACTGTACATATTTATAGCACTGGAAATATACCAACAACCTGATGATAAGCAGTATAAGAATTTAATTAAGAGAATCTGTGGCTGATTATAGAAGTTGTCTACTTGGAAAATACAAGAGTCATTCTTATCAGAAGAAATACAACATGATAAATGGTTTTCTTTTCTCTAATTGCATTTAGTTAAACACAGTTTGAACATACACAGTGTGAATGTATTTGGGGGACAGGAATGAACACAGTTGTAGGAAGTTAATCCGGGGCCACTGTAATGAATCCTAAAATAACTAAACAATTTAATTCAGGCAATGCTTTCTCATTTGTGAGGGACAATACAAAGGTAAACCAAAAGATAATGTTTAAGAGGAAGTACAATAATTTAAGCATGAATCTTGATCTAAATTAGACCAACTGGTTGGCAAGAAGTACATATATTCAAAGTTAAGTATTTTTTAAAAACAGTTAACAAATGAAGTAACAGAAAGGGATTAAAAATTCAGTAATATTGGTTCCTAAACTCTGCCTCAGGTGACAGACATGACCACAGCTATCTTTCCCAACAAACACAGATGTGGCCATCTGCCTCAAAATTGTACAACAAACTGAGTTCATAAACTGAGGTATCACTATTACTATCCCAAGTTTTTAACTTAACTGAACTGTGTATAGCTGAGGATTGAGTCTAAATCCAGTTTTGAACATTATTAATTCATGTATGTTTGAGAAATCAGATAGGTCTGGAGGACATGTACAAAGAGCACAAAGTGTAAAATAATTTAATATATAAAATTACTGGCACTCTTTATTCAACAAACTAGTCAAGTCTGGGAGTCTGAGTTACATTAGGTAGAAGATGTCTTAGCTCCACTGTGCAACATGAGTTTCCAAGAAAAGGGTACATACATTATGATGTTTATTCTGAAGCATGGCTGACACAACCAGTAACTCACAGAATACCTGTTAAATACTTAGCATACAAAGAATTACATTCTTTTCTGCAGATCAGAATTCCTTCAGTTTGTACACAGATTTTTAGGACTATTGTATGCTGTAGGAACATAATAATGCCAACTTAACACAAGCTATACTTTTGTTGTTACCTTAATCAAGCAGCCATCACTGCAATGCCATACGATTCCTTCAATTTTACCCTCTCTACAGCCTTCGAACCAGGACAACAGGTCATTGTGCTTCAATTTAGGCAGATTTCTTATTTGAAATGCTCCATGTGGTATGAGAAGATGTATTGGATGTTTCTTGTTCCCTAAACCTAAATGGTGATATTTTTCCATTAGCCACTCTATCAAACTTCAGAATTTTCAAGATGAGAAAATGTACCTCCAAATAAAAATTTTTTAAAGAGAAAAAACAGAAAACAAGAGACAACTACAACAACAAAAAACCTAAACCAAGGACAATATGGGCTTTCACAACGAGGTGATGGGAATTTAGCAGCGGTTTTTAGATTGTATATTGTTATTTTCAAAACAGTTGTTTACCAAATATAGACATGCAAAGTTGATCAATCATATGAGTATTAACTATTCTTTTCCATGAACTAATAGCAGTATAATCATCTTAGCCAACTTATTTATATATACAAATTTGTATCTTTTTCCTTTTCCTTTCCATCTTTTCTCCTCTCCCCCATCCCTGCCTCCCCTTCTCCCTGAGCAGTATCTTACTGTTTCATAGTATCTATTGTAGACCCTGGATCTTATTTATTCTTTCAGTTTCTTACAGAGGAGATGATACGGAATTTACACATGTGATTCCAATGTAGAGAAATGCCAATTAAAATAACACTGAGACTTCCTCTCTCTCCTGAAAGAATGGCCAAGATAAATCAATAACAAATGGAGGGGCTGTGGCGAAAAAGGAACCCTTCTGCACAGTTGTTGGTGGGAGTGTAGACTGGTGCAACCACTGGAAATCAGTGTGAGGACTCCCTAAAAAACTAGGTCTAAAGGTTGCATTTGACCCAACTATCCCCTTTGTGGGCACTTTCCCAGAATAACTGAAAACATCATACCACAATGACATGTGCATCCATGTTCATAGCAGCACAGTCTGTCAGCCAAATCTTGGAAGCAACCTAAGTACCCATCAATCAAGCAATGGATCAAAAAGATGTGGTATTTTTATATAATGGATTTTACTACTCTGTTGTTCCATTCAACTATAAAGAAGGATCAACTTGAGGTTTTTATAGGTAAATGGATGCAACTTGAGACCATACTCATAAATGAAATAAATCAGACTCACAAACTCTTAAAAAATTTTAAAAAGGGTAGGCAAACTTTTTTTTAAAGAAAGCTTAATTGATGTTCCTTGAAGAGAATATAATCTTGACTATATTAAATCCCACTTAATGTGGCATCTTATTCTAAGAAATCTAAATTTTACCTACATGTACTCTAAACCAGGAGTTGGCAAACTGACCTTCAAGCCAAGTCTACAGACATCTGTAAACAGTTTCAGAGGACATTTAAGTAGACAGTCCAGTTCCAAGGTGTGGTCCACAAAGCTTAAAATGCTACTATCTGGCCTCTGGTAGAAAAAGTCTGTCAGTTTACACCATTAGCCACATTCCACAATCATTTAATGTTTGCCAAGCAGCTGCATCATGTCTCTGATCCCCTGTATAATTACTATCTTAGCTTTAGACCTATGATCTACTTAGAATGTTACAGCTTCTGTGTCCTTAAGTCTATCCTCCTTCCCTCAACAGTGTAAGCCACAGGACCCCCAGTATACTCTATCCCTCATGGTATATTATATTTGGAGGATTGCTATGCATTGCTAATTATTTACCGTGTTCATGCCTATTTTCATTAATGCAAATGACTATCCATGAAAAGAATCACTGCAATTCACAAATTTTTTAAAAAAATGAAAAGTTACTGGAGTAATTACTTTTCATGCACAGTTCTATCCATATCAGAGTAAAAGAAAACAGGACAAAAATCAAACTCTTGTATTAATAAATCACATTAATAAAAATGGATGTAATCCAAGGAAATTAACTCAAATTTGTTAGTCATTTGTTTAGCATAGGCATTTTTTAAGTTGATCTTGAATGTCCTCTTTATAAATTACAGCCACTACAATTACATAAGAGGCTTCACTTACCATAAGGGTTTCCATTAATATTTGTTCCTATAAGTTCCAATGTTTGTTCTAAGAGATCTGATAATGGCACTGCACTAATTTCCAATAGTCCAGGATCATCAGGATGATGCTTTAGTACCAGGGCAATTTCAAATTCGTAATTAACTACAGAGGAATGCCAACAGTATTGTTTGTTGCTTTTTTCTACTGGTACCCAACCTATTATTTAAAGAAAAATAACTTTTTTACAATGGTTTTCTTTAGATTAAAAATAAAAGTAATTCTGATTTTTGTTATAAACTGTCCTGTTAAAAACACTGAGAAAATTATGTTTTACTGCTTTGCTTTTTAATTATAAAGATTCATTATTTATTCTGTTGAGTTAACCTAGCAACACTAAACCTTTTAAAGACCAAGTGCCCAAACTGCAACACAAAATCCATTTATTTATTGCAAAGTACCAATACCGCAGTTAAACCCAAATATGGAGACTTCAGTTTAGAAAAACACAGCTCGTATATTAACATTTTTTTGTCTTAGAAAAACACAATAACACGCATGCCACACATTCACCATATCTGAACTGACCTGTTTGATTATTTCACTATAGAACACCAAACATTCGGACTAGAAAATTCAACCTGATTCAGGAACAGCTGACTCCCACTCCATACATAGCATTAACTTTTTTTTCCAAATGAAGTGTTGTATTTTCTCTCCAATTTCACTGACAGATGACCTACACAGTTAGGTGTTCCAGAAGCTACTGAATTCTACATGTTAGTATACTGAGCAAATTATATGACTCTGTATCTGCTATTTTCTTTCCTTACTGCTGGAATAGCCCCCCTCTCAATGTGGAGAATTCATTGCAAAAAAGAGAAACAGTATGTATGCAATTGTGACCGCCTTCAAACTCACCAAAATACTGTAGTAACTTCTTAGCAATCTGCGGCCTCCAGTTAAAAACAACCCCATTTTATCATAATTCTATTTCTAAAATTTCAATTGTTTTGTTGTTCCCTTATTTCTTCTTACCTTCACAGTAACTTAAAACTCAGAAAACACAAGGACCTTTAAGAGCTGAGCCTATTCTATACCTTCAGCCTCAAATTTTATTGTCACAGAAAAATTTTAGAGAAGATTCTAAACCTGAGATAATCTTTTGTGTGTGTGTGCCAGGAACCAAACTCAGGACCTTGTGCTTACCAGGCAGGCCCTGTCCCGCTGAGCTATATCCCCAGCCCCTGAGAGGATATTCTTGACATGGAAAAACCCTTGATATAAACTGTTAGACTACATATAAATGTGATTCAGAAAATTTGCAGTATTTACATACATAATATGAGGAACTATATTGAAATTAAATTTTGTAATTTCTCATTGAATATCTTTGTATTCATTGAATGTGAACCTTTCAAAAACTAGTGCCCAAAATAAAACCCAAATCCACTTATTTATTGCAAACCTGAATACTATAACAATTCATACATTAACGTCTTCTGTCTTTAAAGTAAAACAACATGCCAGCCATAGGTTCTCCACTACTGGAACAGAACTTTTTTCTTTCTACTAGTAAACTCAAAATTGCATTTCTGAAGAGATTCCATCATACCAGGAATGTGTCCATTTTCATCAGGCACTGGATTTCCCTTCAAGTGTTCTATTTCCTTTGCTGGTATCCAACACTCAGGAACAGGTTTGAAATCTTCCTCAACATTCCAAAGAAATTCTAAAAAAACAAGATAATCTTTGACGTAAGTACTCTCCTCACATTATCATCACAATGTTGCTGTACTTCTCAGTGTTAGGTTATTAACATTTTTAATTTTGAATATACCATCATTTATGAATAAGTAAGAGTCAATAATATGTAGCTAGCATTCAATTTTGTGCAGATTAATGAATTTTTAGTACACTGTTATAAATCTATAATTTATTTGTATGAATGAGTATAGATACAAAATGAATAATAGCTACTATGTATATAGTTAAAGGCATCTTAATGTATTAACAATAGCAATTTTCCTTTTAGATTTTTGCCTGATTTATGAAATTACATGTCTTATATAAATAAGATAAAATGTATCTTTCATTATAATACTGTATATTGTCATAAAACAGACTCATACTATAACAAAGTTGCAAAAACATGTAGTAGGAAAATATTTTTAAATATTTACTTAGAATATTCTTTTATATTTAAGGTTCAATAATGACAGTCCCCCCAAATTGCCTATTTATCTAGCATATGGTATAAAGAAATACTATAGCAATAGATAAATCATAAATTTCAGCTCTTCAAGATTGTGAAGCTCAAAGAAAAAACCCACCTAACCTTTTGAGTTTTCTTGGGAACGCAGAAAATTTTTGAATCTTTTGTCAGCTTGTTTGTTGGGTTTTCTATCTAGTCGAGCCCAAAGGTATGGCTGATCTAAAAAAAAGTAATAAAAGAAAAGCATAAGAGGCAAACAAAATTTATCTTGAAAGACAAGTACAATTTTTCAGTAAGTATTAAGGTCATCCCTAAACAAAACAGCAGCCCTAGAAGCCAACGGGAAGTAGTCTCAGACATACCACCTGCAGCTTAAGAACCTGAATTTCTTTAGCTAACCCACATAGGGATGAAATAAAAAGTCCATGACACTTTTTTAATGGATTCCACACTCATATTAGTAAGGAGCACCTCTGAGAAACTGAGATACCGCTATTGAAAATGGAACCTTAACCAGGTAATTGTATTCATGCTCCCCTCAACCTTCACTGTTTTGTGATGGTGAATTCTGCCAGATCTGGAATTAGGTTGACCTGCTTTGCATGGTGCCAATCCCTAGTCAAGGTATTACACATACTGATTAATGGTGTTGCTTTGTAATTATGGGTCTGAGGAGTTTAAAAGCACTGTGCCAGCCTTCTTTATTAGTAAGAATGCAACTGATGAGTTGTGCCTGGTCTTAGACTGCCAAAGGGCTCTGCTGTTGAGACTGGTTACTTGATAGGAAGGTGCCGTACGTCTCTAGTGAAAAGAGAACAACCTATCTGCAATTCTATTTAGTAGTCCCTAGTTCCAAAGCATTATCCATGCACACTGTTACCTGGTCTGAGAAAATGTGTCCTACTAGGATTTTAAATGACGGGGAAAGGCAGCTTTTACCTGGTCTCCCCAAATCCCTCGCTGTAAGGTAATACTTGGCATCTACACACATCCTTACTCTTTTAAAACTCCAACCTTTAACTGTCATGTGTAATTACATAAGGATGCAAATAATGAAGAACATGAAACAATTGTTACAGCCCTTCAGAAATTTATAAAACAGTTACTTGGTTCAGCTATTTTGTATTCTTTAGTAGCTATCAAGTCAAATACTATCAAGACCCAGATTAAAATATATTCTGTCATTTCTGATTGAATGTATCTTTTGTTCTTTTTACCAGTGGAAACAAAGAATGCATTCCCCTCTCACATCCAGCAGGATGGGGACTACATGGAGTAACTGGAACATCTGTACATTGTGCAGAGTAACATGGTGCAATCACCATGGAAAATGCAATGGTAGCTTTTCAAAGAATAAAATTAGCATATAATTCAGTAATTCCACTTGATATACACCCCAACTGGAAGCAGGGCCTCAAGAACAGTTATTTACCTCTGTTCATAGCAGCGTTATTTATTCAGCAGAAACAGAGTAGCAACCCAAGTGTGCGATCAGTGGTTTTATAAACAAAAAGTGCTGCCCACATGTGATGGAATATTATTCTGCCTTAAAAAGGAATGGAATTCTCATATATGCTAACACAGATCACTCCTGAGAATGTGATGCTAAGAAAAATAAGCCAGTCACAAAAAGGCAAATACTGTACGATTTCATTTACATGAGGTACTTTGAATAATCAGTTTCATGGAGACAAAGCAGAATGCTGGTTACAAGAGATGAGAAGGCAGAATGGGGAATTTTTCTGTGGGTAAAATGTTTCAGTTTCACAAAAATAAAAATTCTGCTGGAGATGGCTGGTGGTAATAACAATAAAAATATACACCACTAACCTGCACACCATTAACATCTTCAACAGTGTATATTTTACAACTGATAAACTTTTTAAAACACATTTCAGGAGAGATTTGATTCAAGAAATATGTCTGGATGCTCATTTAACCATTCTGTTTTGTTTGCTGGAACTGAAAATCCATGAACAATCACGAAGAATTTATTCTCTTTAAGGGATTCTTTTCCTTTAAAAACCACCTGACAACTGGTATGAATTTCTACCTCTTTTAAAGCATAGAAAATGAAACTAATTAGAGATACTGCAGATAATAATAAAGCCAATAGAAACAGTAAAGACACCAAACTTTGGGCTCAGACAAACCAAGATTCCATTTCCAGTATGGCTATTATTAACTACACAACACTGAACAAATTAAGCGGGCTGAGACTCAGCTTCCTTATCTGCGACATGGAGAGGCTTATTGCACAGATTAGAGACAGCATATGAGAGGCATTTATCATACAGCCAGGCCCTGCCTCAAGAGAAAAATAACAAGAATGTAATAAATAACATTTGAAACCTTTCTATTTTGCTCCTATACCAGCTTTCCAAGGGTTTATGAAGAACAAATGCCCCATTTCAGATCCACAATTTGAAAAGAAAGAAAAGTATACTCGTAGTAAACATTACAGGTTTATTTTACCTTTGTAGGTAGTAACATAACAACATGTTCCATCCACTTTTTCTGTTGGAATTGCACTGTGTATGTCTGCATCTAATGCCTTGTGACTTATAGTTTCAGTTGCCAAAACTGTAAATGGCTTTAAAAGAAAAGAGAAAAAAATGGTGTAAGAAACACAGCCTCTGTCTTTGCATCCTCCCCTGCAAGGTTCCTAATCTCACTAGTTCTAAGGCATGATCTATCCATGCTCTGAGACAATTTAAAATAGTTCTTCCATGGAGTTACCAATCATTCCCTCCATTTTACGCTACATATAAAACCTCTTTTTCCATATGATTTGTAATTTGGTTTTTCATTCACAAGTCACATCCTATACAAAATGTTCACAATCACATACTTGAAAATTATTCACCAGAAGCTGGTTACCATAAACTAAACATTATCCTTTGCACTGGAAATATCAAGAACAAAAACATTACCTGCCTTTGATGAAGCACATATAACAATAGGTAGGATAGATCCTACAGAGAAGAACAAATGGGATAAAGAACAGACAGGGAGGAAGGAGAGGCTGACCAAACCTCTCAGCAGACAACATGTGAGTTGATTTGAAGTGAAGCAAGCCACTGTGTAACTGAAATAAAGAACCCTACAGAGAGCCCTTCCCAGACTTGTCTTGGTCTAGGGAATCTGTATTTGTAATCCCATGAAAAAAGTTACTAGAATTCTAGTGAATTAACTGCAATCTACCACTTCCAGTGCAACCTACATTGAGAATAAACACTCTAAGACTTATTTATAGTTATGGGCAGCCAAAAAGGGTCCTAAGTTCAGCCAAGACAGTGCTTCCCTGGAACAAAGGCCTCGACCCACAGTGCGACCTGGATTTTATTAATTTGTGAAGAAGGAAGGACTGTAAGAGCAGCAGCAAAGACATGAGTACTGCGAGCTGGGGTATGCAGGAGGCCTGAAAGCACCTCTGCAGTATGCAGAAAGACTGAGCTGCACAACACAACTGAGGTAGCACCTAATGTTTTGGGGTAGCTGCTTCAGTTCTGACAAACTCTTCTGCCCTGGGAAGTCACAGCCTCTTATCTCAAGGTTTGATCCCAGTTGAGAGTGTGGTGGTGGCTTTTCACAACTCCAGGGTCAACCATGTTTTTAGGGAGTGGCCTCCAAGATTAAGGATCAGCATTTCAGCCAGTCCTATTTACATGGCTTAGAGCCAATTAAAGGGATATAGAAAAGCCTCGCCAGCTCTGTACCAATCAGTACATGGAGAATAGGGCCAGGGTTATGCACATGGAGATAACCACTCTTTATTCTAGAAGAGTCATCCAGGCCTGATGGTCCTCCACAAACCCCAAGTCCAGAAGTTTCTTCATGTGTCTGATGAATGCAAAACAGTCACTGTTTGTACTTGAAGACAGATAAAACTAGACCATGTTCCATAGGTGCTTCTGGTGATTTAGTACAAGTATTTGCCAATCATAATTTTCAAGAATAAATGTCCCCAATACATAAAACTTTCCCTTTTACAAATCTATTTTGTTATTACAAAACATATCTTCCAATGAAGACTTGGTTCCTAGTTTGAGCAAGAACATAATGGTGTTTTCTTGCCTCTGGCTACATTTTCAGGAAGCAGAAACGAAATAAGGATGATGGATCATGTTTTGTTTTTGCTTTTTTTTCCTTGTGAAGCAATAACTTCCTTTTTCATTACGGAAAAATTTGTAAAGTAAACAAATACAAACAAACAAGATATCACCCATTATCTCACTATCCAGACACAATGAAAAAAACCCTTTGACCTAAATCTGATCTCTCTTTCAGTGTTTTTATCCTTAAAATAATGATATCAATTTTCATTTGCTACAAAGCAATTTCTAACATAGCTAAAATCAAAATGCGTTCTGGATTCATTTCACATTTTTCCTCCTGAACTCCGAGATAAATATAACACTGCATTGTGATGGATCTTCCATGTCGAATTGATTACTTCAGATCACAGATGGACCTTGAAGGTTTTTGTTTTTTAATTTCCAAGAAAAATTTTTATATACCAAAAACATGCATTATAAAGTTCACTAAGTACTCCTGGAAAATATATTATCTGCTTAAAAGAAAGATTAACCTCTGATGGCCTCTCGCCATTTCCTTTTATACAGGACAGATCTTACAATATTACAAACATAAATTTCTGTGCTGTGTCAACTATGGTTGTTCCCATTTATTTTCAACAATCAAGAAGGCAAAATACAAACCATTTCTATAAAACAAATGTCTTTGAGTTAGGCTTCACTGTGATAGCAGTTTTCTTCAATTACCTGATATCCCCAGGTAGTCTCATTGCTGGGACACAATTATAACGTAAGAATACATTATACTATAGCAAATTTATAGCTATTTCGTGATCAATTAGAAGTCTTTGACCAAGTTTCTGTTCTACTGTGTTCAAATGACCTTGGCAGGGTCTGAAGCCCAGCTCCATCCTCTGCTGAGCACTGAGTCACAGGAATGGTCTATACCTTAAGGCACCTTCCCCAGAATGTTCCTAATGGTAATGCCATTAACTATGCTCACTCTGGAAGGGCCCCCTCCCCTTGTTCCTGGAAGTGCTTCCTATGATAAACGATGCCTCTGTTTCACCAAGACTAGCCTGCCTGTCCTGACTTAATATATGTAAGCAGTTATGTAACGTTTTGTCACTTGCTTTGTACTTCCCACTTCTAAATTCTATATAAACTAAACTCTAAATTCAGTGCTGCTGCCTTTGAGGAATTATCTTGCAACAGTCCACTGGTGTGAGGATCCAACAGTTTGCTGATGTAGATTAAACACTGCCTTCTTATCACCCAGTGCCAAGAGTCTTCCTTTAGGCTTGGTGTGGCTTGGAAATTTTCATGCAACATCAAGAGTCTTTTACTTTCAATGTTGCATTCCAAAGTCTCACTACAATGTCAATCCAAACATCTCAGTAGCCATTCCTTCAAAAAGTCTGGGCGTTTAGTTTGTGAAGTGTATTATCCTGAGTTAGACAGGCAGTATTTAAAGAAGTGACTCTCACTCACATCACCTCTTGGGTGATTTTTCAAATTGTACTCTAAGAGACCTCCAGCTCGCCATGGCCACATGCAGTGCATTTTGTTATCCAAGACACCCTTTCAGTTCTACTCTGTGCACAAGCTGTACTCAACATCTGAGGTTGAATGTGGTTGATTCATGTTTAAGCCTATTACACATTTAATTGATGGCTTTCTACTCCCTGGAAGAAACAACATCAAGGATGGGAAAAAGACCATTTCTAAGGCTCTTACCAACTTAATGTGTGAATGTCATTTTCATTTCTGAGAAAAACTTATGCCATTATTTTGAAGACTAACTCTGAAGTTAATATTCACCTAATGATGTTTTTTTTTAAAAAATCCTACACAATATAAGCTAAACACTAATAAAGCAGAATACTATTTCAGTCAAGAAAGTAGGAAATTAGCTCCAATCTGGTTCAATATTTTAAAGATATAACTAAAAAAAGATTTATCACTAATTTATGACTCAGTATCCAATGATACCAATTTAACCAACAATAGTAAAGTCAGACAGTCAAGCCCAATAGCTATGTATGTGAATTTTAAATTTAGCAAAGCTCCTAGAGAGATTACCATGCACATGGAGTTCATGCTGAGCATAAATATTCCTTCTACAAGAATCAATTACATACCACTCTTTGCTATCAATATCACCAAAGGAAAACACAAGACACTGAAGAGTACAGAATGTTCCTCTTCTTCAGTTGTCATCAAAGACTTCTGACTACACCTGGAAAAATAATGTATGTTTGTATAAAAAGTAACAGTGTAGTCTAAATCTGAAGTTAATATTCACCTAATGATATGAAAAAAAAAAAAAAAAAAAAAAAAACCCTACCCAATATAAGCTAACCAGTATCAACTAGACTGAGGTAATCTTTACAGTTTCTGGGTAGGGAAAATAACTGGGCTGACTAAATTGATTACAGTTTTTACAGAGAAGATAAAAATTGGAAATACTAAAGATATTCTGGAGTTGGTCCAGGCAGAGTAAATAGCCTAAGCAAAAACACAAAGACAAGATTATGCTTGGTATATGTTCACAGGATGAAACAGACTAAAACAAAGACTACAATGTGAGAGAAAGTTACAGAATAGATTGGGCCTGATTAGCCAGAGGCCTTGACTTGTAATTAAGCATTTGGATAGGATGCTATAACAATGCTGCAAGGTTTTCTTGACAGCAGAACCAAAAGAAGTCTTTCTCCACTGTATGAAGTTTTACGAATTATTCCATCTACCATATAAAGCTGAAAATCACAAAATAAACCATTATCAAGGATGACATTCTGTATGGCTTCGATCACTAAGGCACAAAAGCAAAAAGCTGACAACTACTGCTATAGACACTGAATAGTTAACTACAGGGTCTGGACGAGGAAAGAATATGGTGAAAATTATTCTAGGTAGCGAGAATAAATATTGCATTTAAAAACCAAAAACAGGATAGCTGTAGAAGAGTACGGAAAGATCAGGTAAGTAAAAGCATCCAGGCTGAATGGAAAACCAGTGATGACCTCGTGTCAGGTTCTAGACGCTGGGACTAAAAAGGGCAGTAACTGCTTTAAAGGTAAAGTCATTCAGTCTAAGAAGGCTGATGCTAATGATAAAAGGGGGTGTGATAGTTTTTCAGTGCACGTGCTGATTTCATCCAAATTGGAAACGCTCATCTAACAGCTGGAGTTTGTACTCCACTAGGTTTTTACCACATTTTAAAGAATTACCTTGAAGGAGACTACTTATCATTCATTCATTCACCCGCATTTACTGAGGGGGCCTGTTCTGTTCTGTGTAAAACATGTAGCTAGGCAAATAGGAAAGTAAAATGCGAACGTCGAAGTTAGAATTAAGTAATTACTGGTCACTAAGGTCTGGTCTTTCGTGACTTAATCAGGTCAGGTGTCACAATGCCATCGATTTCCAAGTTAGCGCAAGCAAAGCAAATCTAGTTATTATCTCCACTTTCTAACCACATTCTTGGAAACTATAAAGCACGGACAGCGATGTCATCTCATTACTTAAGCGTTTCCCCAAAAGGTGCGGACTTGAGAATTGAGTATTTAATGTAGGTTTTCAATTTCCCAGCGAGAGCAAGCTCGAGTTGCCCGAGGAGAAAACACTTCCTCTCAAGCTTCCTCCCTTACAGCCAAGGCAAGGGAGCCGGAGCTCGGGAAACCCAGACCTCCCCAGTGGAACCCACGGTCGGAGCCGCCGCGCAGCTGGGTACCTGATGCTCCCTTTTGGCGGAAGGTTCGTCTTTCACCTCCGTCACAAATACACACGGCATTTTCCGCTGCACGGAGCCCAGGCGTCTCATGGTGGGTCCAAGAAGCAGTGCCAAGGGAGAGGGCGCTTCCTCAAGGCTGCCAGTCCCTGTCCGGGGAGAATCCTGCAGCTATTAGTCGAAGGGTTCAGGCCACTCGCACTCCGCGCCCCGGAACAGCGACGGCGACCAGGGAAAGCCAATCCGGAACGAGGGGCGGGGACGCGCGCCCGGAAGCCGACTCTCGACCGCGATGTCTTCTGGGAGTTGTAGTGCGGCGCAGACGCGCCAGGGCGTGCACTCCCTCGTGAGTTCCCTTCACTGGCTGACTATGTAAAAACAAGGGTTCGTTTTCCGGGTGTGTGTGTACCTCACCCAGTAACCGGTGAAATTTTCGAAAATTAATACCAAGTTGTAAGTGGTGAATATTTTCAGATGGCGACTTAACACCATTCTAGTGAAACCTGTTTTGGTCTTTTCTGATAAATTCATGGAGGAAGCACTGAAGTTTAGAAATCACTACAGAAACTGTCATCCACAGAAAGAAAATTGATTTCCCAGGGAAAAAAAGCTTTTAACAATTAAAACAACTGGAAAAAAGCGTTTGAATTACTTAAGTCTCCGTGATATGGTTGAAATTGATTCAGATGTACTTTTTTGGAGTTGCGGAGTTTAGCCTCAGACTAATGCAGAACTACAGAAATACAACTAGATTACAATTGTTTTTTTCCACAGAAATCTTCTTAAAGGTGCGTTTCAACAAAGGATATTAAGTAACTGTCAACTAAAGAGTTAAAAACAATCTTGCTGAAAAGACTGTTAACCAGTGATAAGGACCATGATTGAATAAAATAAATATTAAATATTTTATAGTAACAGCTTTGTCTCATTGGCGATGGACGTAATCAGCTTAACGTAGTAAGGGAATTTGGACTTTAGGTCATCTTTCATGTACTTGGACAAGACTTGGTTCTCATCTCTCTAACAGTCTTTTCTGTATGTGACCAACCCTTGAAAAAAATAAACTACTATATCTTACTTTTTGTGGCTCCCAAAGAATATCCTTCCCAAAAGTTTAATGCTTTATTTCTGGGTTTATAGGGTAGTAAGGAAGAAATCTACCATTTTAAGGTATTTTGTTTTGTTTGTTTCCCTGCTAACTTTAATTTTCTTATAAGAAAATATAAGCCCAATTCTCAAGTTTATAGAAAAGAAAAAAGAAATCACCATAGTATTGGTTATGTGATACTGAAATCAGAAACTTGTTAGCATTTTTGAGTCAGTCAGATGCCAATGGCTTCATTCCATAAAACAAAAACAAAATCCAGCAGCTTGTCTTACCAGTCCCAAATGGACAACAACTTTTACAAATATAAACTGTCACTTTTCAACTGCCACAGAATCTTCTAGGTCCAACATTCTGTCATTTCTGAGAAGCTGTAATCTTTCGAAACATTCTACTTTTTGAATAGTAGCAGCAAGGCTAATCATCTCCCAGGAAATAATATTTTTAATACTTTGGTCTGCCTATACCTGGAGCAAAGCTTAGACACAAGAGTCCAAATCTGAGAAGAGACACAGATAAATTCACAGTTATAAACCAGACATCTAGCCTGATGGGGAGCAGTCATCAACTTTGCCTGATTCTCATGTACCTGAAAAACCTACAAGAGTTGCCCTCAACCACTGTGCTTAAAGTGCTGTTACAGGATTACAAACTGGAAGAAAGACTTTTCTGATTTGTTGTATGTGTTTTTTAGCATGCACAAAGGAGAAAGATACTCATTGTGGCTCTCTTTTGACCAATACAAAATAGTTTTCAAGCCTACCCTCAGCTATGGAGATAAATTTCCCATCGCTTTTCATTCCAGGGAATGAAAATACCTATGGGTAGGATTCTATAAAAAACGGAAGAGTGAAATTCATGACAGGCAAGAAGTGAAGAGAGTAAGAAAAAAAATTAAGGAAAGAGAATTTTAAAACAAAAAGACAGGACTCTGTATTCAGAAGACTAGCAAAATATACAAACCCAATGAATATGCTCTGGAGTAAAACAAAAAAATCCTCATGTGGATTTGACCTATTTTTGCTGTATTTAATAGAATGTGATCATTCACAATTTTAAGAGATAAAAGTATTTTTCATCATTTCTTCTGTATGAAATTATTTAATCATGCAGTAATGGTGTTTGGTAACACCATCTGAAGATGGTCCAGCGAAACTCCAAGTCATGGGAAAGAGATGTCATCCGTATACTCTATAGATGGGTATTTGTTGTTTCAGTTATAAGGTAGAGAAACACAAAGGCCAAGATATATTTTCTATATATTTTTGACAGTTTTTTTTAGGAATCTACTCAAATCTTTATTTGCTTATTTATTTACTTTAAGACTTTATCTCATATTTTACAGTTATGGGCAGGTATACAACTTTTTTCTACATCTTAGTATCTCATTTTATTTCCCAGATTATTATCCTAAAGTTTTCTATTCATACCAATTTATCCTGTTTTACTTAAAGTGAATTCTGTATTTCTCTTGATCTTTTAAATTTTCAGTTGAAGTTACATTGCAATTTAAACATACATTTTGACTTAGTGTAATACTATCTTCATAATCTTCAAGTTCCCTGTGATAGATGTTTTCATTAATCTCTTCTAGGTTCTAATTCCTTTTGTACAAATACTAGGATGAAGACTTCAATAGCTGCTTATTGAAATTTCTCTATCTGGCAGAGTATATTACATTGTTTTCAACAAATTACCAACATTTTCAATATCTCTGGAACCTTTCTGTTATAAGAAGAAATTATTTCTCTTTTAATGATGAATGAGAAGTGGAATAAAGCTACAAGATAAATAACTAGAAACATTTATTTTCATGTACCTATGATTGTGTAATAATGTCAATGATTTTTTCCACAATTCAGTGAGTATATATTTAAGTAATTATACTTGTTTTCTTAGACTATAGATAGCATGGTTACTGTTGTATTTAAAATTTTTAGTTTTATTTTCAAATAATTTATAGTAGAAGGTTTAGATAACTGTCAATTACTTGTGAAATTACTACTTTTACCTATGAAAGTAGAGACTAGTTTAGTTACCATCTTCAAACAGTATTGACAGACCGAATATTCAACTTTGTTTTTAGTAGTCTTTTTTGATTAATATACTAAAATTGAATAAACAATATGTAGTATTAACTAAGGCAATCCAGCTGGAAGCTACATATGAGGTCAGTTATGATGAGCAAACAATGGGTTAGGTAACAATGAAGAAAATTCTGGAAGTTTGAGTTGGGTGCTTACTAGCAACCACTTTCAACATTTCTGCAAAGCTAGAGAAGGTATCTTCTAATTTAAGTTTATTAAATAATTATCTATTATGTAATATACTGTCAAAAGGAGGTCAGTATTTTAAAGGACTACTACTGATAGCCTCAAAGACTGAGGAAAGGAAGTCTTTTCCCCTTCACGCACTGATAGTTCTTGTATCTGTATTCCTGCAATACATTATCTATATATAAACAAATCATTGGATTAGCAACAAGGGAGTTGAAAAATGACAGAAGTTGGGAATGACTGCTATTTCTTTTTTAATTCCACATGCATAAAGGTAAATATTGTACAATTTACAGTACTTTACATGCTTAAATATCTGAAATGTAGAAGGAAGGAATTTGTCTATAGTTTGCACTGCTGAATCAAAATGTACTGTTTTACTCAAGATGTTTTATATATTTAAAAACTAGAGTAAAAGCCTCTCATGTTTTATGATACACTGAATTTCTCTAAGGAATTCCTGGACGATTTAAAATTGTGATTTGTTTGAAATTGTTTTTATGTACGTTACTGTCATATTGTTTTGACTAATACTTTGTTTTGTTTTGGTGCCAGGAGTTAAACTGCACTTGCCAGGCAGGTGCTGTGCCACTAAGACAAACTCCCAGCCCTGGGATAGTTTTTTCAGACATACAATGAATTTAGATCACTGTCAAACTTACTATAATAAATCTAATTCCCTATTTTAAATTGATTAACACAATTTCTGAATTTTCTCCTGTCAAGATTCTTTCTAAGTATGCAAGTATGTAATTAAACATCATGGAAAGGGGTCTGTGATCAGTCAAATATAAATTAAAATTTGTAAAATTAAATGGGAAAAAGAAAAGAGTTAAAGGATTACCATAAAACTAAATAAATGCAGAAACTTGTGTGGAACTTCCTTTACCAAACTGAAATCAATGAAAGATTCTGTAGATCTAGTTTAATGTGTTCCATTTCTACTAATAAAACATTAAGGAGTCAGATCTGTTGAACATAGGAATTAGATCTACTTCTGTTGTCTTTAGATTAAACTCTAGGGTGACAAGTAATGAAATTTGCATCTCAGAGTTTTGTCTATTTCTCAGTTAATCACCAAGAATTTAGTGAAATGAAAAAAAGAGCAATTGCACTATGTTACCGCACAATTTTTACAGCTATTTTCTTGAGAAGGTATTTTTTTTTTTTTGCACAAATAACAAAAACTGGGGCGGAAAACAGATGAGTTGAACAAAAACTTTGTGACTGTTCATAAGTAGTGAACCCAGGTATTGGAATACACATTTATGTGATTGCAAAGCCCCTTCCCAGTACTCTGTACTTGGAGCATGTACAGATCTACTTTTCAAAGGGGAGAAGAGTGAAGACAGAAGCAGGAGAGAGAGGGAGAGAGAGAAAGAGAGAGAGAGAGAGAGAAGAAAAGGGGAAAAATGAAGATGAGGAACAACCATGGCATCTGTGTTGTTAAAAAGAGAAAAAAAAATTGGAATATTTTTATTGTGTGTTACCTCTCTATGCACAACAGTGGCTTGCAATTTTACAACTGTAAATCTGTTTATTAAACAACATAGAATTTATTTTAAAAATGTATAGCAGCTTATCAAAATAATATCATTTGTAATGTGAATATGTCAGTATGCATATGTATTTGCAGCTGTTTATCTTTTTAGGCCAAAGGACTAAAGTATATATATTATGTAGCATAATGAATTAAAATTTTATAATAATATAAAATTTAAACTATGTTACTTTTCTCCTTAAAAGGCTCTCTACAGAATAACAAATCAGATGATCTAATAAAAGGATTGCTTGATAAAGATTGCCTCCAAAAACAGAACATATCTACTTATTCTTAAAATAGTTATCTGGCTTTCTTCAAAGAGAAATTAGATGGCTCTGTAACTGTAGTGATTAATGTATCACTGATCTCTTACATCTCTATTCTTAGTGAATCCTATGGATTAGCTGATAACAAAAAACATTTGATGGGCAATCCTTGGCATGTTGTATTATGTAGTGATTAGATTTTTCATGTTATTTTCTCTCTAAATATAAACTAAATATAATCTAAATATAAAATATAAACATTGTTTACATTGCTAGTATGTTTTTTGTTGATTCTTCTTTGATACACTCGTTTGTCCTTTAATTAATTAGCAACCTGTTCTTGATGAACCACTTACATAAAAATGTTGAGTTCTCTATGCTGATTATCTTTCACTTTTAGGGTTCCCAGTGCCGATTCCGACACTGCGAAGAGGCCCTTGGCAGTGACACTGTGTGCTCATTATGGAGAGAGAAAAAATGTTTAGATCCACTTTGCAGATTTAGACACATGGAAATGCAGGTAAAATTATTCAATTCCATCACTTTTGTTAAAAACATCTACCTTCAATAATGCCATGTTATAATTTTATGACAGGGTTGGGAAAATTATTCTTCCTACCATTATTCAATTTGGGTATGTTTCACTTTGTCTAAACCTAAAATTTTAGAAAACTGGAAAAACATGTTCTGGAAATATCCATTGCATCTTTTAATACTGGCACAATTAAAGCCAGAAAAGAAATGATCTTATATGGATCATTGCAGTGTTTTGCCACTTTATGTCCTGTTGTATCACTTTCTCTTTACTATGAATGTGACATCTACTCATCACATTCCCCCCTATTTTTTTCATCTAGCAAAACTGTAGCATTTCATGCTTCTGGGAAACTCAACCTCTTGGTTGTGTGAAGATCAGTTGTATCTTTTATCACAGCAAACCTCGGAATATCAATGGATTGTTTTTGCCACCAAGTAGCAGTGAGTATATTTTATTGAATAACATGGGCGTACCATATCATAATCAGGTTTTGGAGTAGCAGGACATGGAAACCCGACAAGGTAAGTAAGGCAGTTTAAATAGCCAATGGATGGTTTGGGATGCTTTAATCAAGAATCATGAGGTGAAGCTCAAAACGAACCATCATGTAGCTAATAAGAAGACTGAAGCCATTATGCATGCCTGTAGTCCAAACTATTTGGGAGGCTGAGGCAGGAGAATTGCACATTCATGGCCAGCCTGGGGAATTTGATCCTGTCTCAAAATAAAAAATGAAAAGAACTGGTAGAAGACCTTGGGATCAATTCTTGGTTCAGGAAGGATCGAAGGACACATGGATGGAAGGAAGGGAAAAAAAGGAAGGAAGAAAATAAGTTAAACTTTCTTAGATTGTGTGTATATAAAACAATTTAATTCATCTGAAAAAAAGTGAGATGTCTATGGAGCTCCTTAAGCAGGATATAGTCTCAGCAAAGCACCGAACACTGGAACCAAACTCAGAAGTCATGGCCTCTGCAATGCTCCTTTGTGAACGTTGCAAACCTGTCTCACAGTGGAACAGCAAGGACACACCCTGGGTATGCATCTCTGCTTCTAGCAGAGCAGCTATCTACTGTGGTTCTTCCTGAGACAGGATTTTGTGACAAAAGAAACATCACAATTCACTTCAACTGAATGATGCTGAGACTAATTTCTGATGAACTTTGGAGTAGATTCTGGAAGGGAAACAGAAGACATTGTACTCAAAACAGTGAAGGGTAAGAACCTTGCTGAAGATATGAAATGTATATATCCAAATTCTCCAAGATAAATGAAATTATTATGCATTACAAACATAATCTAACAGCAAGATCAAGTCACAATAAAAACAATAGCAAAAATTAAAATTTTCCCCGATGGTGTAGCAACTTTACTTTCCTACTATGACGACTACATTACTCTGATGAAAGAGCTCTAAAAGTAAGCTTGCTGGATCTCGGTCCTTTTGAGATTTGAAAAATTGGCTTCAGATAACTCTTGGAGAGTGAGTAACTAAAATCTAAGTCCTCTTCTTTTGCTCTTCTGGAAATTCAGAATATCGTTCATGTAATACCTTGGTCAATGTTTCTCTTCCTCACTAGATTAAATATCATGAGGATGAGGATCATAGTAGTTTCCTTATTGTTTTTCACAGTGAATGGAGAACAGGTGCTCAGTATAATTGGATATTTGGATATATAACTTAGGTGTGAATAGATGACTGCTGACAGGTAACCTCCTCGGATAAAAGCTATGATGCTTATCTCTTGGTTTACATGTGTCGATTTTATTTTATGAAAAATAATGTACTTTGTATTTGATTAGGAGATTGCTCCTTAGTGATCTATACGTAAAATTGTTCTTTTAAACTAGCTCTTTTAGGGCAAAAGGAACGAAAAAAAAACTATTCCACTCATGATCAGAAGGATGAAATGTCAATGTATCTAACAATTATGAGGCTGTCCAATATAAGGCATGGGCTGGGTGCTTGGGTTCAAGCTTTACCATTCTAATTTCTTAAAAATAGAATCTGAAGGTTGAAGACCATTTCTTCACCAAGAGATAATCCTTAGCCTGACACTTGCTGCTGTAAGCTTTCCCCTCAAAGGGGTCAAATCTAGATCCGTACTCTGGGGCCAACCCCTTCCCCTAAGTATTCTGCCCATCATGATGGGCTAATAATGGCACTGGTAATTCTTTGCTGCTTCAAATCTCTAACTCTTTCAATAGGGGATAAACAAAACACCCAAACAGTCACCTCTTCAACACAGCTTCATCATAGTCACTTCTGTTTTGAAATCAGCAGGGCTAGCTTCATTCTTTATATTGGTCAATATAATATACTCTCTCTTAACTCTCTCCCATCTATCTCCTGCCCTTTTCACTCACCCTCCCCAAACTTCCATAAGCCGCAGAGTTCTGTATTTCTTCTCTCAACTTGGTCTCCATCTTCACACTCCAACAGTAACTTCCCTCTGAAACAGTATTACCCCTGCAGCACTCCGAGTCATCAAGTACAGCTGCGGCTCTGGAAGTGAGGTGAGATTTGCTTGGTCCTCTCTGCTGAGAGCAGACTGTTGTCTGGCATGTCTCCCTAAAAGCATCTAATGTCAGTGGATAATGTTTTGTTTTTCACAAACTCTCGGTATAAATGTTGCTTTTGTCCACATCTTTCTAGATACTTTCTTGTGGTTTTTCAACAATCTGAACTCTTAGCTTGTTGTCATTTTCATGGTATTCCTGTGTCAATTACATATATATATGTGTGTGTGTTTGTGTATACATATATATATATATATATATATATATATACACATGTATCATGTATGTATATATTTGTTATTCTTGTGAATCAAATTTGTTTTAAGATTTTGGGAAAGATGGGTAATATAATTTGTATACAATTCTTGTGTTTGAGAACTGAATTGTTTGGGAACAGAAGAATTTGTGAACAGAGCTATTACTGTATACAGTATATATATGCTTCTAGGGTCTTTTAAAATTGCTTCAAACCCATAGATACTTCCAGTTCATTGATTCTTCCATACTGTCACAATACTTGCCATTTGATATCTTCTTTCACCTTACTGGTAAACTGTCCCTTTTCCATACCTTCTTGCCACTATCTGGTTTCACTGAACATCCGTGCCAGTCATGGCACTGGTTAAACACAATGTTCTACCTACTCTGTTACTGAATCCATTGGAACTGAACATTACTGAAGACAAATATGCAGCCATGTTGATAGGGATAAATACATGACCACGGACCTCACATTATCCCATAATGTTACCTTTAACAATGCTATGTGGTCCCTGTCCTGTCCAGCCCCATTCCCTTGTTACTTTGCTCCCTAATCTTGTATTTCCATTTCTACCTCCTCTTCCTATTCTCAGATGATGGCCTTATTGTCTTAATAGATGAAAATATTTGAAGAAAATTTTAATCTCCTGACACCTCTACTGGACCTTGTCTTATCCTTGCCATAGGGGAACTACAATATTCCTAACTAAACTCGTATCCTTCCCGTTCATCACCAGGTATTACCCTGTCTTATTTACTAAAGGATGCTGGTTCAGTATGACTTCTCTCTTCTGTGTAATCATTTTTGAATCTAATTGAATCATTTCTATCAACATAGAAACATGCATTTCTTTATTATAAAAAAATGTCTTTCTTCTCTCAAGTCATTCTCTCACAAGCTACCACCCCAATTATGTTCTTTTCTATTGCAGTAGTTTACTCACAATGGTTATCTCTTCTAGTTATTCCCTTCCTATTAGTACCCTGGATTACAAGGTTTCTTAGTCTTCTTTTCCAGATATACAAGCTGTTAAATTCAGTGGTCAATTCTGAGTTTTATATAAACTTGAACCATTGGGAGGTCTGACACCTTTGATAACCTCTTCCTCCCCCTTGATGTAATTTTCTTTACTAGTTTCCTAACCCCATCCTGTCTTTGTTTTCCTTTAATACCCTCAGTGTTCCATTGCTACTCATCGTACTGTTTTTGGATCTTTCTTGCAACCACTTACACGCGCAATGTAGTAGGAATTAGACCTTGGTTCTCTTTTTTTCTGTCTACACTCTGTAATCTCAGAAATTCTTTTTTATTTTTGTTGCTTTTAGAGACAAGGTCTCACTTTGTAGTTCAGGCTGGCCTTGAATTCGAGCTGATCCTTCTGCCTCAGCCTCAAAGGGATGTGGTTACAGGTGTGTGCTGCCACCCCTGTATTTCATGCAATCTTGTTTCTTTTAATATGGATTCAGCAGTTATTGACTCCTAAATTTATATGCATTCACAACCTATCAAACTTCACACTCTTATGTTCATCTTAGACTTAAGGTCTTATCTAAGACATTTCATAGTTAATGTGTTTACATCTGAACTCACGATTTTCAGTCCGACTCTAATCTTCTACACTCTACATTTACAGCTCTTCCTGTCTCATTTTAATGGCAACCCCATTCCCTTTGCTCAGATGATCTGATTCACCTGCAAATTCTCAGTTTCTCTCATAGCCCACACCTGTTCCACATAGGAATTTTGCTACCTTAAAATCGGACTTTTCCCATTATTTGTACTAATCACGTGAGCTAGTCCACAATGATCATCCCATAAGTGGATGACAACTGTGGCCTCTTGTTTTCTGTGGTTTATCTCTTGCCTATTTATGTCTATTCAAGTCTTTTCTTTTTTTAAAAAATTTAAATAGAAAAAAAAAAACCAAAAAAAGAAAAAGGGTAGAATTAATACCTAACTTCAAAAAAAATAAACAGTAAGAAATCACTAGTTGATAAATTACATATTGTCCTCTTACAAATAGTTGTTCAAGTTACAAAAGTAACTCATACAAAGTGGACATTCAAACAGTGAGACTGCAAACAGTTCTGTTCAATGATGCAACAAAAACTTAGTAATATGGTTATCAATCCTTCACACTTAAACATACATGCAGTTATATCCTTTAAAGAACTTTATTTTCCTCTCTTCTTTACAAAGTTGTCTCCATTTGCCCATGAAGGCCTCAAGACCATCCTTTTTATAGCTGAGTAATATTCCATTGTATAAAAATACATCTTTTTCACCTACTCTGCAGTTGATGGGCATTTTAGCTATTTCCAAGATTTAGCTATTAAAAATTGTGCTGCTATGAACATGGGTACACATATATCACTGTGATATGACCTTTTCAGTTTTTCTGGGAAAATGCCCAGGAGGGGAATAGCTGGATTGAATATAACTTCCAATTCTAGTCTGCTGAGAAATCTCCATACTGATTTCCCTAGTGGTTGCATGAGTCTACCTCCCATCAACAGTGGAACAGTGTTCTTTTTTCCCTACAGCCTCACCAACATTTATAATCAGTTGATTTCTTGATGGCAGCTATTCTTTCCAGAGTGACATGAAATCTCAATGCTGTTTTAATTTGCGTTTCTTGAATGACCAGTGATGGTGAAT